AGCACCTGGGGCCTCCTGGGCCTAGGGTGACGCGCTGGCGGCCCGCTCCGTCCCTCCACGGGGACAGCGTCACAGACAGGGTCGCGCAGGTCAAGGAGAGTCTGGGGCAGGAGGGAGAGGGTGTGGCTGCAGAGGTGCCTGGGGGGTGGGGGGTCTCCCAGTGACAGACACGCCCCATGTCCTGCCTGTCCACGTCCGTGCCCGTGGCGTCTGCACCCCGGCCATGCCAGAGGTTACCGTGGGGCCGTGGGGTGGAGCGTGTGGGGGCTCCCCGGCGTTTGGCCTTACTGCGTGTGAATCTACGCCGGTCTCAAGATTTAAAGTTCAATTTAAACACATGAAGCCGCGCGTCCCCCCGCCCACCGTCTGCGCCCACTGCCCAGGTCAAGTGCGTCCAGGATGCCATTCGGGCCAAGAAGAAGACCTTCAACTTCCTGGGGGAGATCATCGGCCTCATCCCCACCGTCGGCATCTTCATCACCATGAACCCCGGGTACGCGGGGCGCACGGAGCTGCCCGAGAACTTGAAGGCCTTGTTCAGGTGTGTGGGGGAGGGGGAGGCGGGCAGGGGAGGAGCAGAGGCGGGCGGAGCCGGGAGAGGGAAGACCTGGTGCAGAAGCGGGTCCGGGGCAGAAGGGACCCAGCCGGCCAGGACCCCCTAAAGAGCAGATGCCCACCTCCTGTGCTGTCTTCCCAGAGCGGGGTCCCTCCTGGAGACCGTGGCAGGCGGGGTGCAGGGTGACCCCCAGAGAAGGGTGGAGGGCGCAGGCGCAGGGCCTGAGGGTGGGGGAGAGACAGGGAGGTGGGGAGAGCGGAGGGGAGGGGGCTGGGAGCCCAGTCCAGCCCTGGCATCTAGACCAGCAGCGCTGCGTGTCCCCCGCTCCCCTCAGGGCGGGTGAGTGCACCCCTGGTGGGCGGGGCCTGGCTGACCGCTGACCCCTCACAGGCCCTGCGCGATGGTGGTGCCCGACTTCGAGCTGATCTGCGAGATCATGCTGGTGGCCGAGGGCTTCCTGGACGCCCGCCTGCTGGCCCGGAAGTTCATCACGCTCTACACGCTGTGCAAGGAGCTGCTCTCCAAGCAGGTGCGCGGGCAGCCCGGGCCGAGTTCAGGGGCCTGGCGCGCTCCACGCTGGCCTGGCAGAGCCCCGCCCGCCCTCCTGGACCCCAGACCCCCTCGGGCCAGGGCATCACCGGCCCCGGGGCGCTCACACGGCACCCTCCCCGCAGGATCACTACGACTGGGGCCTGCGGGCCATCAAGTCCGTGCTGGTGGTGGCCGGCTCCCTCAAGCGGGGTGACCCCAGCCGCGCGGAGGACCAGGTGCTCATGCGGGCGCTGAGGGACTTCAACATCCCCAAGATCGTGACGGACGACCTGCCCGTGTTCATGGGGCTCATCGGGGACCTCTTCCCGGCCCTGGAGGTGCCTCGGAAGCGGGACCTGAACTTCGAGAAGGTGGGTCCTGCCCGCCCAGGGCGTTTCCTGCCCGGGGGCCTGGTCATCCAGCCCGCGATGGTCACACACACGGCCGCCGCTCAGCCCCGGCCAGTCCTCGCTCAGCGCTGGGGTCTCCGAGGAGCTGAGGGCATCGGGCAAACCGTGCAGGTCTCACGGCCTTGGGGAGGGACATGGAGACATCACCCCAGCATCCCATCCCGTGCCCAGCACCCGCCCCGTGCCCAGCACCCACACCCAGTGCCCCCCCCAGATCATCAAGCAGAGCATTGTGGAGCTGAAGCTGCAGGCGGAGGACAGCTTTGTGCTGAAGGTGGTGCAGCTGGAGGAGCTGCTGCAAGTGCGCCACTCGGTGTTCGTCATCGGGAACGCGGGCAGTGGCAAGTCCCAGGCAGGTGCCGCCGCCCACAGCCTGCCTGCCGGGACCCTCCCCTCCCCCTG